CAGACCCGATCTGTGCGGCAGAGGCCCAGAAGGACCTAGGCGTGGGGATCCTAGCGGGAGGCAGAGGACCCCGCACATGCAGAGAGGGTCCGAGTGCTTCCTCCTGAGTGGGGGTCACCCATCTGGCTCCAGCCGCACAGAGCTACTCCCTCTAAGCTCTCCGGCTCTCTGCCTTCCGGCATTAGGTCTTGCCCACTCCTGGCCGGCAAACCCCAGCTCATCTTTCAGACCCAAGTTCAAGGCCTCCTCCTGCTCCGGGCGGCTCATCACCTGGCCTCCCCAGGCAGAGAGGTGAGGGTTCTGATCGCTGGGGCGTCTCCCTCGCCCCCTGGCCCAGGACTACAAGGAAAGGGGTTGACTCCCTCCCTCCCCTCCACGCCCAGCAGGGTGCAGACACAACTGGGAAGGTGCTGGAGGCCCAGGGGTCAGGCTGAGCCAGTGCCAGGCACTGGGGGGCAGGTTCCCATCTCTACACCCCAGCCCCAGGCGGATGGCGTGTGCCCCTCCCGCTGCCCCACCTGTCACCCACGTGCTGGCCCCGGGCTGCCTCTGCTCCTGGCTCCCCTCCCAGCTTCGTCCCCAGCTGCCTCTCCAGGGAGGGGTGACAGCTGGCCCATGCCACACCCTCGGGCCCCTCCCTGGACTGCCCCCTTCCTGGGGCGGGACCCCTGCGTGTGGTACAACCAAGGGGCCTGCTGATGGGGGCTCATGTGAGCGGTGTCCCAGAGCTGTGGGTGTGGGTGCTGCCAGCTGCCACCGCCTTTGCCCTGGCTTCCCAGATAGACCCAGACCCACACTCCGAAGCTGTGTCGTGAATGCTGTGGTGGGTGCCTGGTGGGGTCGGGGTTGCTGTCCCACGACCCTCTGGAAGCTTCAGCCATGAAGGGCCCCTGTGGGCACCTTTTCCCAGCACACTGTGCTGTGTTTCCCACTCTTGGGCTCTGCAGTGACTTGAGGGGGCAAGTCTATGACCACAGGGGAGGCTGGGGAGCCCTCAGCACTGTGCAGGGAGCCCTGAGCCACCCTGGTTGGAGGCCCAGCCCTACTCTCCAGGCCTCCTGCCAGCTCCCTGTGGTGTCCAGGGGACCTGTGGTCCGGCCCGGAGGAGGAGTTCCCCCTCCTCTCAACATCCTGCCTGCAGCCCCTGCTCTTCACCAGAATCTCCTCACTCCCCAGAACCCCAGAGAGGACCCTCTCCAGCCGACCACTGGGCTCAGAACAGCCGGGTGGGGCGGCCACAGGAGCTGCCTGCAGGGGGCAGAGTCGGGACGGGGACCGAGCCGGACACTCATTCTGGAAGTGTCTGCAGGGGGACGTCGGAGGTGGGCAGCTGGGAGTGCCGAGCTGCAGACGAACATTGTCAGGCCCTCGGTGGGGACTGGGAGGTAGAAGGGGGGGGTCTGTGGAGGAAGGAGAAGAAGGGCCAGCGTCCCGAGTCGGGGGGTGGTCGGCAGTGGATGAGGACGGCAGGAACAGACCTGAGCTTGGGGAGTCCCACTCAGAACAACGCATCCGTCAGGGTTCTGTGCATTCTGGTGTCCCTGGCTGGCAGCCAAGCCCCGAAGTGGAGCCTGGGACTGTGAGGGTGTGGGGGTGTGCCGGGGTGGGAGGTGGATGGAGCCCCCCCCCGCCACTGCCTGGCCCCTTGGGCTGAACCTTGGGCTTCGGAGCCAGAACAGACACAGGAAATCGCCTAATTGCATTTGCGCAGGAACACCAAATCCCTCGCAGCTGCAGGGGCTGAGCCAGGGCCACGGGCGGGGTCGGCCATGTGAGAGTCCTGACAGCTCTGCTGTGCATGCCAAGGGGCCTGGGCCGTTGGCCGGGGGGCGCCTTTCCCAGGCCAGAGGCCCCCACCCCACCCCAGGAGAGCTGCCCCCCTTTCAGTTCCCAGAACAGAGCCCAGCTGTGGAATAGTGAGGGGGTGAGGTCATGGGGAGGGGGCCCGCATGACTCACATCCTGGGGTAGGGGAAAGGGAGGAGACGGGGAAGGGGCCCAGAGGCCTCCACGTCCTCAGTCTGCTGGGTCAGAGGCCAGGGGCTGGCGGGGCTTCTCCCCAGCCTTGGGTTTTAGGGGAGACACCAGGAGATGCTTACTCTGCACCCCCACTCTGTCCTCCAGGCCCCTAGCCAGGGAGAGCTCAGTCGGGGTGATCCTTGAGGGGCCCCAGCTCGGCAGGGATGATGTTCCCAGAGTACACACCTGGGCCTTGTGCCAGGACCGCACTGCCGTTGTCAGGGCAATGGCAAGGCAAACAGTCAATGTTTGCCTCACTAAACAGCCTCACTAAAGTGAGGCTGCGGCACCCGGAAGGGGTCCCTGGCGGGGGACGTGGTCGCCTTGTTCCCAAGCCTGTTTGCACACACACGTGAATGTCAAGGGTTCCCGTGTGTGAGCACGAGCGTACTTGTATGTGCCTATGGGGTGTGGGCGTGTGTGCCTGTGTGGCTGGAGTGTGGGCTCGTGGAGAACGTGTGTGTCGGGTGTGCACCTGCGTGTGCCCCGGACCTGGGGAGCCCGCGCACGGCTGCGCTCCATGTGTAGGGCATGAGCTGTGAGCAGAGCCAGGGCCTTTGTGGGGCCGTTGGGGCCCGGACTCCTTGCCCATAGGGGTGCACCCGAGGAAACGTGTGCACACGAGTATCTGGGGTCTCTGCACCAGTGTGGGCTTTTAAGCCCTCCTCTCCCCTACGGCTTGGTGGAGAGGGTCTGTGGAGCTGGAGTGAGGGCCCTGGACCCATCGGAAGCCCAGGTCCAAGGAGGAGCTGGGGCTCCATCTCATGCCCCAGGCCCAGGGGCACACACCCCAGCTGAGCCCTTGCTCACATGGAGGGGCTGGGACATGGGAACACGGAGAGCAACATGGCCAGGCTTCCCCTCCATGGAACCCCTCCACCTCCTCAACACTCTGCCCCTTCCTGGGACATGGAACACAGAGAGCAACATGGCCAGCTTCTCCCCATGGAACCTCCTCCACTCTCTTTCAACATTTCCCTGCCTTTTCCTCTATGAACCTCCACCTCTCAGCATTCCCCCTGCCCCTTCCTCCATGGAACCTCCCCTCTCCACTTCGTCAACACTCTGCCCCTTCCCCTCCATGGAACCCCTCCACCTCCTCAATACTCTGCCCCAGTTCTGCACCACCCTCCGTTTGGAGGGGCTGGGGCGTGAGTGAGCATGAGGGCCCCTGCGCCCTAGGCTCTGCCTCCCCAGGTGGAACGAGGCCCAGCAGCCCCCAGCCATGCGGAGGCCGGCAGAAGCGGGAAGCTGGGCCTCATCTGCCCGGATGATGGGAGCCAGGTGTGGGGAATTAAGTGGCTTCCTCGGGGGCCGGGAGTTGAAGGCATTTCTGAGGAGCAGGACAGGCAGGCGGATTCGGGGGCGTAGGGGGCGGGGTGCACAGGCAGCTGGGTTTGCGTGGCTGGAGTCCCCTGTGGCTGCGGTGGGGGGAGTGGGCCTTGAACTCGGGCCTGTGGAAGGGCCTGGCTTTTGTCTGAGAGGCTTAGGGGAGACCTAGGAGAGATTAGATCATGTGCTGGCAGGGCTGTCTGGCCAGGGGACTGGGGCCTGGTGGGGATCAGGCTGCAGGGTCAGGCAGCGGACACTGGCCGGGAAGAACTGAGACCCCAGCGGCGAGACCCCAGCCCTGCTCCCTGTTCTGGCCTGGGCTCCCTCCCTGGGTCTGGGATAATAAGCCCTGTAGGAGTGTAGAGACCCTGGACCCCCGACTTAGGCTCCAGGAGGGCGATGGGAGGCAGGGCCACGACAGCTGAGGCCGAGGTGTCTGCAGGACCCGGACTGTCTGAGAGGTGCCGGGCCGGGGCTCTGATAACCGGGTCCAGGCCAGCCTGTGTCTACCTCTGTCCCCCAGTGGGGCATGTGGGACCCCGAGAAGCCATGGTTTCAGTCTCTGAGAGCAGAAGCACTCCCTTACCTCAGTTTCACCATTTTTGAAATGGCTCAAATGACCGGGCGAGGTGGCCCATCCCTGTAATCCCAGCACTTTGGGAGGCCGAGGTGGGCAGATCACCAGAGGTCGGGAGTTCGGGACCAGCCTAACCAACATGGAGAAACCCAGTCTCTACTAAAAAATACAAAATTAGCCGGGTGTGGTGGTGCACGCCTGTAATCCCAGCTGCTCAGGAGGCTGAGGCAGGAGAATTGCTTGAACCCAGGAGGCGGAGGTTGCCGTGAGCCGAGATCGCACCATTGCACTCCAGCCTGGGCAACAAGAGCGAAACACTGAAACAAACAAACAAAAGAAACAGCTCAGAGAGACTCCGCAGAGGGCTCTGAAATAAGGATGGGGTGGGGTTGGGTGAGCCGACCCTGTAAGGTGCCCCCAGCTGTGGGGTTAGGCCCAGGCAGGAGCCCACCGGTCTGCTGGGCTTCTGTGAGCAGGGCTGATGGTGGGACAGGAGGTGTCCTGCCTGGACATGTGCAGGGCCTCCTTTCCTCAGCCTTGGACCTCATGTGGGGCCCCCTTTCCCCAACACACCCTGCCTTTGGGGTGCAGGAGGGAGCATCCGCAGGTAGGGTGGAGGTGCCGCCTGGCGGCGCACTGTGGCCAGTCTCCCTGGACTCCAGTATCTTCTTCCTGGGCCCTCCAGGGTCACCTGGGTCTAGGTCCTGGCTCTACCTAGGGAGGGAGGTGGGCTGGGAGAGGGGGACAGAGGATCTTCTGTCATGTCCTTGAGTTTCTTCAGGCTTGAATGGGCCTTGGAGTCCCACCTTCATCCCCACAGGGCACAGGGGTGCCCAGATCCTCACAAGGCCCCAGAACCCTCGCCTGGGTCAGAGGGCACCTCATGACCACGTGGGCAGCCTCTGTTTAAAGATGGACAAGGTGAGGCCTGAGGGCCAGCCTGGGACTGCCCTCGTGGACCAGGGCTGCCCACGCTGTGTGGCCCAGCAAGGCCCTGCATAGACAGGAGGAGTGGGTGCAACACCGCGCCGGTCTCGGCTGTGGTGTGACTGTCCGTCTGTGTCCCCCACCAGGCCCACTGCTCAGTGGAGTGTGGAAGACGAGGAGGAGGCCACCCGCAACCCATGCCGGCAGGAGAGAGACCGGCAGCTTCAGGCCCAGGATGTGGACGGAGGCGGCCATGTCCCCGAGCGGCCGGAGCACGAGATGCTGTGAGCAACCCCCACCGCATGCCTGACCTCTGACCCCTGTCCGTGCATCCTGGGGCCTGAGCAGAGGGGGAGGTCAACGGCCTGGGCTTGGGGGTCCCAGTGCAGCACGAGAATGAGGAAGAGCCCCCAGAAGCAGGCACGGGAGGGGGCGAGTGCTCCTGGGGTGAGGGGGGCTGCAGCCCTGGGTGAGGGTCTGCTAATGCCTGGCTGCCTCCTGGACGTTGACCCAGGCTCTGTGCTCGTGAGCTGGGCCTTGCTTGTACTGCCTCTGACCCCAGCCACGCAGCCAGCCCCTGGGCCCCCAACCAGACTCCCCCGCCAATGACTCACAGAGCCACGTCCAACTTGGCGGCCAGGCTGGCTTGCTTCCTCCTTGGGCCCAGGAGGCCTCCGCGGCTGGGCTGGGCTGTTTTTCCAATAATGCTCCCCTTCCTCCTGGCCTCTTTTGTTCCATTTTCTCCGAGTCAGCAGCCTTGGGCAGAGTGGGGTTCAGCAGTCACCACGGTCAGGCCCTCGGCCACCCCCGCCAAGAGCCCTAGCTCTCCAGGAGCCCACCCTGCCACATAGGAGCTTAGGAGGAGCCTGGGGACCAGGGCAGCCCTTGGGGAGCCCCAGGATGATGGGGGAGGCATAGCCCTGCCCTAGGGAGCCCCAGACTGATGGGGGGGGCCCAACCCTGCCCTCGGAAGTCCCAGAGTGATGGGGGAGGCCCAGCCCTGCCCTCAGGGAGCCCTACACTGATGAAAGAGGCACAGCCTTACCCTCAGGGAACCCCAAACTGATGGGAGAGGCATAGTCCTGCCCTCAGGTAGCCCCAGACTGATGGAGGAGGCACAACCCTGCCAAGCCTCAAGGAGTCCTGAACTGATGGGGGAGGCACAGCCCTACCCTCAGGGATTCTCTAACCACAGGAGACACAGCCCAGAGCCAGCTCTGTGGCAGACAGGGTCTCCCACTCTTGGGGCCGGCTCTGTGGCAGACAGGGTCTCGACTGATGGAGGAGGCACAACCCTGCCAAGCCTCAAGGAGTCCTGAACTGATGGGGGAGGCACAGCCTCACTCCCCTTGTGACTTCTAACCACAGGAGCCACAGCCCAGAGCCAGCTCTGTGGCAGACAGGGTCTCCCACTCTTGGGGCCGGTTTCAGGCAGACAGGGTTCGAGATCTTGGAGCCGGCTCTGTGGCAGACAGGGTCTCGTGACTCTTGAGCCGGCTCTGTGGCAGACAGGGTCTCGCACCTTGGAGCCGGCTCTGTGGCAGACAGGGTCTCCACTCTGGAGCCGGCTCTGTGGCAGACAGGGTCTCGCACTTGGGCCGCCCAGGCAGACAGGGTCTCCCACTCTTGGGGCCGGCTCTGTGGCAGACAGGGTCTCCCAGGGCCTGAGCAGGTGCCATGAGGTGCGTGTGGGTCCCGAGCAGAGGAGGCAGCAGCCGCCCAGTCCTAAGCTCCCCCCTGCTACCCTCAGCCTCAGCCTGAAGCCCTCGGAGGCCCCTGAACTGGATGAGGACGAGGGCTTTGGCGACTGGTCCCAGAGGCCAGAGCAGCGACAGGAGCATGAGGGGGTCCAGGGAGCCTCGGACAGCAGAGAACCCCCCCGGTGCAGGAGTCCTGAGGGGGAGCAAGAGGACAAGTGAGTGAGGGCCCCGAGGGTGGGCACTGGGCAGAGCGGGGCACCCTCCGGGTCTCCAGGGCGGGCGCTGGGCAGAGCAGGGCACAGCAGGCTCCCTTCAGGCCCTCAGCCTGCGCCTGAGCAGCCACCCCATCCTCCCCTTTCCAAGCCGCCCCTGAAATGCCCCCACGGCCAGGAAAGGGGGAGAAAGGAGGGGAGGGAGGAAGAGGGCGAGACAGCATGGTGGCCGGCAAAGGGCCGCGAGGAAACCTCATTCTGGGGCTCTCCAGGGCCCCTGGGCCCCATCCAGGCAGCTGCAGGGCCAGGCCGAGTGCGGCCACATCAGCACACAGCTGCAGCCGCTTCCGTCATGGAGGCTGAGAGCCGCCGCCGCCCCTTCCTCCCTCGGGGCTGGCTGATCTCCATTCCCACGGAGGGGAGCAGGTATTTCCAGATGTGCATGCCGGAGAGTGGGGTGGGAGGACACACTTTCCAGATGTGTGGATGTGTGTGCCGGCCTCAACCCCAGCGGGCCCAACGGGGGCTGCGTGCAAGCCCCACCTCACTACCCCTGCCCAGCCTGCTCAGGGTCCTTGCTGCTCTCAGATACTTGCGGCCACGATGGGGCCGGCCCCACCCGCTCTGTGGGGCCCGGGCCATCTAGGACCCCAGCCCTGCTCAGGACCCCCTTGCCTTGAGTGGGACCAGAGCCCGTGGCTGGGCTGACAGTTCTCCCTGGTCGGGGTCCTTCCTGCCCCCTCTGAATTCCTAAACCAGCCTGGAGCTCTCGGGACCAGTGTTGCTCAGCGACGCGGCCTTGTCCTCCTATAACCAGGGCACCGGTCGTGGTCTGGCACAGTGCTCGCCGCCCCCTCCCCAGGCCTCAGTCTCCCCCACATGCTTGGGAGTCAGTGGCCCTGCATTTCTGAGCCGGGGCAGCGCCCTTCTCCCTGGCCTCGGGCCTAGACAGGCCAGGCCGCTCCCAACAGCAGGGGGCGCTTTGACTCTTCCGTGAAGCCCAGCTCGAGAAGCCGCCCTACCCCCTGCACCTGCCAAGCTGCACAGACTGGCTGCTGAACGGGCCCTCTGTGTGGCTGCTGCTGGCTCAGACCCCTGCCCACCTTGGGCGGGTGGGTCTGGGTCTTGGCTGGCACGCACACCCAGGGGCCTGAAATCATGGAAAATTCGAGAATTTCCCATCTTCTCCTCCAGGTTCAGTCCTGCTCAAATGCAGAGCCGCTGGAAGCTGCCAGCTGGCTGGCCTCCCCTCCCCCGCAGCCGGCAGCCCCTTGGCCCTGCTACTCAGTGGCCTGGCCCCTGCCCCTGCCTAGCCCTCCAAATGACCCAGCCTCCAGTCCCCCACACACCCCAGGGCCCCCACAGGGAGCCGAGCAGGAGTGGTGGTCCCAGCAGCCTGGCCCCCCGGGCACCTCACCAGACCAACTGGGTGGGCGAGCAGCTGCCAAGCTGAGGCCCAGCCAGGAAGCTGGGGTTGAACCCAGCCTCAGTGCCTGGGGGGCCCTCCGTCTGTAGAGCCCCACCTGGGGGGGACTGGGCAGTTCCCCAAGGGCCTCAGGCCCTGACACAGGGGCCCAAGCAGAATGCACTGGCTCTGAGGCCGCTGGACCTTCTTTCCCAATGAGCTTGGGTCTCAGATCCCTTAGCACTCAATTAGCCTGACTACCTTCATTTTACAGATGGGGAAACTGAGGCTTGGAAAAAGGAAGGGGTCAACCAAGCAATCCAATGGCCCTAGAACGGCTTTGCCTCCCTTTCCACCCACAGGCCCGGCCTGCATGCTGGTGAAAAGGAGGACGGTGACGAAGTCCACCTGGAGGAGTTGAGTCTGAGCAAGGAGGAGCCAGACCCAGAGGACACTGTCCAGGACAACCTGGGGGCCGCAGGGGCTGAGGAGGAGCAGGAGGAGGTGATGGCTCCACCTCAGAGGGTCTGACTGCACCCCCACCCCAGGGACGAACCTGCCTTTGCTGTCTGCACCACTCTGTGGGCCCTGTGGGTCTAGCCCAAAGTGGGTCAGCACCCCACACCCCTAGACCTTGCAGCCCCTTCTGGGCCCACATTCTCAGAGAGGGTGAGGCTCGGTGATCCTCTTGCAAGATCTGGAGACATTTCCCCAGATTCCTCAGTCCCTCCCCACCAGCTCTAGAACGGGAGCATGTCAGGGCCATGTGAGCCCCAGAGAACCTGGGGCTCAGGGAGGAACGGCATTTGTTCCCATAGGTGCTGGGCAGGGCAGGAGGGATACCAGCAGAGGGTCACCTGGGATGTCTGTTTTGTTTTGTTTCTTTTCTAGCACCAGAAATGTCAGCAGCCCAGGACACCCAGCCCCTCGATCTTGGAGGGGACCATTGAACACAGCTCACCTCCCCTGAGCCCCACCACTAAAGTAGGTCAAGCTGCAAAGCCTGCCATCTTCTCCCCTCTCCCGGACTCATACCCAAAAGGCCAGTCCCACATGCCAGCCACAGGAAGACCAGGCCCAGGCCCGGCTTTTGTCTGCTATCCCCCGCATTTCCTGATGCTCAGCAAAGCCCCGTGATATAAGGGTTGCGGGTTGGATTAGTGGGTGGAGTAGTTGTGGGGATGGAGGGTGGGCTTTACCTCAGCTGCTGCAGGCCTGTGTCTCTCTCCACCCTCTGCAGCTCATCGACAGGACCGAGTCCCTAAACCGCTCCATAGAGAAGAGGTCTGTCTGTCTATCTGTCTGCTTTCTGGGCTCAGATCTTAGGTTTCCCCAAGAAGGGGTTGAAGGGAGTCACAGGGTGGAGATCTGGAGACCGAGGGGCGCTCTGGGAGAGGCTTGGGCAGGTGGGGAGAAGCCTTGTGGGAGACATGAGGCCTGACACATCTTCTACCCTCCAGTAACAGTGTGAAGAAGTCCCAACCAGACTTGCCCATCTCCAAGATTGACCAGCGGCTGGAACAATACACCCAGGCCATCGAGGTATGATCCGGCTCCCGTCTGCTGCCAGGTCCCTCCTCCATCCTGGCACAGTTCCTTCATTCAACCAACGCCCTTCCATCCAATCAATGCCCCCTTATTCAACCAACACCCTATCCAACCAATGCTTCCCCATCCAGTCAGTGCCCCTCTACCCAATCAGTGCCCCTCCATCTAATCAATGTCCCTCCATGTAATCAATGCCCCTCCGTTCAATCAATGCTATTCCATCCAACCAATAATCTCCCATCCTATCAATGCTCCTGCATCCAGTTAATGTTCCTTTATACAACCAATATGCCTGCAACCAATACTCCTCCAATTATTCAGTGTTTCTCCATTCAATCAATGCCCCCATCAGAACAATACTCTACCATCCAATCAATGCCCTTTCATCCTATCAGTGCTCTTCTCTCCAGCCAATACTCCTCCAGTCAATCAACCAGTACTCCTTAATCCAATCAATGACCCTCCATCCAATCAAGATTCCTGCATCCATCCAATACTACTACACCCAATCAATGCCTCTGCATTCAATCAATGCCCCTCCCATCCAACCAATTCTTCTCCATCCATCAGTGCTTCTCCATCTGACCAATACCCTCCATCCAACCAACACTTGTCTATCCAATTAATGACTCACCATGTAACCGATGCCAATCCCACATGCCAGCCCGTCCATTCAATCAGTATCTCTCCATCCAGTCATTGCTCCTTCATTCAACAAATACTCCTCCATCCAATCAATGTCCCTTCATCCAACCAATATTCCTTCATCCACCAACTCCTTTCAATCCAACTAATACACCTTCATCCAATCAGTACCCCTATTCATTCAGTGCTCCTCCATTCAATCAATTCCCCTCCATCCAACCAATGTTCCTCCAGCCAACCAAAACAACTTCATCCAATCAATTCCCCTCCATCCAATAATGCCTTGCATCCAATCAACGGCCTTCTATCCTATCAATTTCCCTCTAACCAACCAAAATAGTTTCACCCAATCAATGCCTCTGCTTCCAATCAATGCCCTTCTATTCAACCAGTACTTCTTTATTTAATCAGGACATCTCCATCTAACCAGTATCCTTCCATCAAGCCAATATTCCTCTGCTAAATCAGTGCCCCTCCATCCACCCAGTGCCCCTCCATTGAACCAATACTCCTCTACTAAATCAGTGCTCCTTCATCCACCCAGGGCCCCTCCATCCACCCAGTACTCACTTATCCAACAGACACTCCTCTATCTTGCCAGTATTCCTCCATCCAGTCAGTGCTCTTCTGTGCAACGAATGCCCCTCCATCCATACATTACTCCTTCACCCAATCAATTCCCTTCTATTCAACCGATACTTCTGATTTCAACTAATTCCCCTTCAACCAACCAATACTCCTCCATCCAACCAGTACTCCTCCATGCAATCAATGTTCCTCTACCCAACCAACATCCTTCTATCAAACCAATATTCCTCCATCCAATTAATCCTTCTCCATCCAACAAGTACCCCTCCATCCTATCAATGCTCCTGTATCCTACCAATATTCCTCCATCCAACCAGTACTTCCCCATCCAATCAATACTCCTTCATTCATTCAGTGCTCCTCCATCCAGTCAATACCTTTCCATTCTACCAGTGCCCCTCCATCCAACCGATACTCCTTCATCCAATCAATGTCGTTGCATGCGATCAATGCCCCTTCATTGAACCAATATGGCTCTGTCCAACCAATACTACTCCATTCAATCAATGCCCCTCCATCTAACAAATACTCCCTCATATAATCAGTACCCCGCCATCCAATCAATATTCCTTCATCTATCAACACCTTTTTGTACAACCAATACTCCTCCATCTAATCAGTGCTCCTCCATCCAACCAATACTCTGCAATTTAACCACTGTGCCTCCATCCATTCAATGTCCCTCCATCCAGCCGGTGGTCCCCCGGCCCTACCCCATGAGCAGCATGGAGGCAGACCCACATTGGACCTGTGCACCATCATCTCCCTGATGCTCTTCAGGACCGGGAGGTGTCTCACAATTGCATTGAATGTAGGAAGGCACATGTTTTCAATGATTCCCCACTCTAGGGCTGCATTGGGAAAGCAGTCCCAGGGAAAATACGAACACAAAGCAAGGGATTGCCCAGTGTGACCCTCTGATGTGACCACGGTGGCTGTTCACTAAGGTAATCCTGATGCTTTGCCTCCTCTGCAGACCGCTGGCCGGACCCCCAAGCTAGCCCGCCAGGCCTCCATAGAGCTGCCCAGCATGGCCGTGGCCAGTACCAAGAGTCGGTGGGAGACGGGTGAGGTACAGGCTCAGTCTGCCACCAAGACTCCATCCTGCAAGGTAAGGTCCCCTCCAGGGACAAGGCTGGGCCGCAGAGCCAGCACCTGGGAGTTTAGCAGCAGGCCAGTTTTCTTTGTTAAGGCAAGCGTGGGACTGTCCAGCGTGAATGTGGGTAGACAGAACACTGAGGCATTGCAGTAGGGTTGGGTTCACCCTTGCTGGTGTAGAAGGCTGTGTTGTTTGAGTGGAGGTGGAGGGCACCTTTATCCCTTTCCCTGCCCCTTCCAGTGGGATCACACAGAAAAAGGGTAGGTAGGCAGGTCCCAGGCCCCCTGGCCAGGTAAGGCAAAGCAGGAGAGAAAGGCCCAGGGCTTCTACTCCCCGAGATCCAGGGGTCTGCACTTGTGACATATCCTTCTGCTGCCCCCAGGATATTGTGGCTGGAGACATGAGCAAGAAAAGCCTCTGGGAGCAGAAGGGAGGCTCCAAGACCTCATCAACAATTAAGGTAGAGCCTTAATGTGGTTGGTACAGGAAGGGTGGGTGCAGCAGGGGAGGGCAAAGAGGGACTGTCCTCTGTGCATCTGTGAGGGCTTCCCAGAGGCAGAGGCATCATCTTTCTGCTGCTCTCACCTTCACTCTTGGTCTCCTTCCCCAACAGAGCACCCCATCTGGGAAGAGGTATAAGTTTGTGGCCACCGGGCATGGGAAGTATGAGAAGGTGCTTGTGGAAGGGGGCCCGGCGCCCTAGGCCTCCTGTCTCGGTGAGTCCCCGGCAACCCGTAGAGTGGGACGAGGTGCACACACGTGCACTGTGCTGGGAACTTGGCAGCCTGGAGGGGGCCTGGAGCCCTGTTGCATGCTGCAAGGGTGGACCCTGAGTTGGCCAGAACCCAGACCATCTCAGTCTCCCAGCCCTGCACAGATGCTGCCTCCCTCATCTGACACCAGATTCAAACTCTCTGTTCACTTCACTGGAGACAGCCCGGCTCAGCCACTGCTCCACTAGGGAAGCTCAAGGCTCCCATCTGGGACTCCCCAAAAGCCTCAGCAGGGCTCATGAGGGAAGTGAGGGGCAGCCTGGCCACCACAGGGCTAGCATTGAAGAAAGCAGGTGGCATGGAGCCCAGGTTCCCTGACCATCTGTATGCTGGTGGTCCACAGAGGGGCAGGAACTTAGGTCCTACTCCCTGTCCCAGCCAAGAGTCATTCAGAGGTCCTGATGCCCTCCCCATCCCATGCTGCAGACAGAGCAGTGCCACTCCTGCCATGGTTAGACACACATTTATTAGTAACCTGGACCCCAGGCTCCATTTCCAGCACCCACCACACCCGGGGGGCGGGGGCAACTGTCCTCCTACCATCTTCCCTGCCAAACCCTGACTCTCAAGCAGCTGTGGCAGAGGCTTTTTCGGGTACCTCTGTGTCCCTCTCCTGTGGTTGGTGACCCCTGCCAGAGCCTGGCTGACTGCCAGCTGGGTGCCTTCACTCTCCCTGCCGGGGCCACAGCCCCTTCTCGGTCCCGCTTGGCCAAGTTGTTCCCACAGGGTTGGGACTGAGGGCTCCCTCCTCATCCAGCGGTCAAAGCCTGGGCGTGGCCAATGCTGAGACCCTTGCTGTCCCACCAGTGAATCCCTCGAGTTCTGCCCCCTCAGGCTGTCAGCCCCAGTAGGGGATGCAGAGGAGGGCAGTGAGAGGGGTCACGCTGGGGCCTCCTCTACCCCCTGATGAGCCCCTCCCTGCCTGCCCCTGAGCACTCGTATTGGTGCCAAGTCTCACGCTGGCTGAGGCTCCCCCTGCACCCTAGTCCCAGGGTCTGGCTCTGCCATCAGGAAGAGCACGCAGCAAAACTGCTGACTGCTCCTGAGGCCGATGGCCAAGCCAGCCTGACCGCACCCATGTCTCAGCAAGCAGAGATCTGCCCCCAAACCTTTGACAGCAAAAGGGAGGAACAACGCGAGGCCCAGGCCCCTGAGCAGCCTGGGCTAGGTCAATAGGTGCGGTCCTCTGCCATTTTCCCTAAAGTTTTCATCCCAAGGCCCCCATCCCACATCCCAACACAGACCCCTTCTCTGTTCCCCTCACACCACTGCAGCCCAGGGGCTCCAGCTCTTCCTCTCTGCCCTTTCCACCCGACCACCTTCCTGACACCCAGACTTCCCTCAGCACCCCGTGTGCCCTTCCCAGGCTGCCCTGCACCCCATGCCCCTTGGGCCCTGATGCATCTTCATGCAGTAACTATGGGCCCCCAGCTAGAACCTCAGCCCCCTCTTCTGTCCACCTCATGGTTCTGGGCCCTGGGGGCCATTCCAGCCACTTCACTGGAGCCTCCAGCCAGTCGCTGTGCGGTTGAAGTTCTTGGGCTGGGGGTTCAGCTCCAGGATGGAGCAGACTGTGGGAGGGGGCCGGGTGGCCTCCTGCAGCTTCCGGGCGTTGAAACGAGGCCGGTACAGGAAGGGCAGGCGGGTGAGGCCGGCTGGGGTGTGCTCCCCACCGCTGGGCCCCGTCAGGCGCCCTCGGGCCTCCACCACCGACATGCGGTACAGCACAGCATCCCACATCCTGGAGGCCCGGGAGGCGGGGACCCGGGGCACGGCAGGGGTGGGCGCCTCCTGCTCTGTGGGGGCGGGCACCTCCGGCTCCAGGCTCTGCCGCGGCCCTGGGCACGGAGGCTCCGGGGCCTCCTCCAGCAGCTGCTTCTTGAGCCGCGTCCAGCCACTGAGCCGGGGCTTGGGTGCAACTTTGGGGACAGGGCATGGGTGAGGGCCTGATGGTGGGGTAGGGGATGAGGCCCAGGCGGGGCTGGACACTCGCTCGGCCTCAGTGGCAGGGCCAGCCGTGGGGGGCTCCTCCAGTTGCTCTCCGCCAGGGCCCACGGGGGCCAGGTTGTGCAGTGAGGACTCCAGCGAGTGGCAGGTCGGGGCTATGGGCACCACGACCCTGGCACTAGCCTCTCTGGGCACCGAGGCATGGAAGCTGGGTGGCGGCCGTGGTACAGGGGGCTCCTCAGGCCGGGGACTGGCAGCCTGGGCTGTGGTGGGCAGTGGGCGGATATGAGCCACTGGGACCAGGGGCTGGGCCCTGGGGAGACGTGGGCTGGCATCTCCGTCCTGGCTGTTGGATCCCCCTTCCGGGGCTGTCCTGGGGGGCTCAGGGGTCCCGTCGTGTGGGGATGGTGCCAGCTGGATGTGCACCTGGGTGATGTGGGTGTCCCCAGCCACAGGGGCTGAGACAGGGATGAAGCCACTGGGGGGCTGGGCAGGTTCTGGGGCCGGGGCTACAACCTGGGGCCCTGTGGCCTTGTGAGCAGCTAAAATCCTGCGCTGGGTGAGGCCGACAGAGAACGTGAACTTCTGCAGGGGTGACGCCGTGTGGTAGATGACGGGGGTGTGTGGGGAGCGGGGTAGGGCAGCCACTGTGCGGGGAGCCTCAGTGGGGCGTGGGGCTTCAGGAAGGCGTGGGGCTTCGGCGGGGTGCGGGCCCTCAGCAGCGTGTGGGGCTGTGACCTCCTGGTCGTGGCTGGCCTCACTCACGGGGGACAGGGAGGTGCGGAAGGCCCCGGGTGGGGCGAGGTGCGCGCCCCCCATCATCTTCTTCCGGGCTGCCTTCCTCAGGAGCTTCTGCAAACGCAGGTTGTCCTTCCCTGGCTTGGGCAGCACGGGCGGTGGGGGTCCAGGGGTTCCCTGGAGGCTCGGACCACCCACCTCGGGTGCCATTGACGCGGCTGAGATGAGCATGGCTGTGTCCTAGGGTGGGAGGGACAGTAGTCAGGCCAGCCCTCCTCCCTCCCGAGGTGGGAGGTCTGTGCCTCCTGTGATCCAGGGAGGACCTGGGGCCAGAGCTGTGGAGGCCTAAGTATTCTGCTTCCTAAGCACCCAGAACCTGCCGGGGCTGTCCTGAGCTCGACTGTGCCTTGGGGACTTTGGGGTGGCCCGACCATCACCCTAGTGTAGAAATGAGGCCACAGAGGCCGAGTCCCTCCAGGGATGGGGCTAGAACCTGCCTCCAGGTCTCTGTCCTCTGTGCCACCCCAGCACAAAGCAGGCCCCAAGTACACAGCCTGGGTCAGGCCACAATGCCGTGTGGGCTGGGGTGGGAGACGTGGGTGAGCTCCAAGTGACAGGCATGCCCCTGGCCAGCTGCTGGCCGGGCCCACGGCTGGAAGAGCGGCTGCCCACAGACACGTGAGGGGCGCCCCGTTGTCGCCGGCCCGACCACAGGCGCGTCGGCTGCGAGCCAGCGGTGAGGGGTGGCGGCCAAGAGGCTCGGGAAAGCTGAGGCTGCATCATCAGAGGTAGATCGGCAGGAAGGTGGGAGCAGTTTTCGCTGAGCTATGCTAAATGGGATATTCCCGCAGACCTCCTGTCTGGGGTGGTCCGGCCAAGCCGCCCACCCTGGTTTCTGGGCACCACGTGTTTGCAAGGACATTGACAAATGGCATCTGGGCTGAGCCAGAGGCTGTCTGGTTTGGGGAAGGAGGAGTCCTGGGGGCTGCTACTGGTGGGGGCTGGCTCTGCCAAGGCAAGAACAGAGCTGCTGGAGGGGTGGGGGCGGAAGGAGCCTGTCTAGGACCTACTCTCAGCTGCAGGTCTCCTCTGGATGACGGGACGGCAGGAACCACGAGAACCCTAGTTCTAGCTCCCGGGGTGGGCAGGCTGCTTAGCAAGCAGGCTGCCTTCCCTCCACCTGGAGTCAGGTCTCCAGCCAGAGGTCCTGACCCAGGGCACAAGTGCTCACACTGGGAAGCAGGCCTCTGAGGCAGGACGTCTTCTCTCATGGTGGAGTGGGAGTGTGGGCAGGGCAGGGAGGCCAGCAATGAGAGGCTCAGGGAGCAGGCTCTGTGGGCTTGCAGGAGGCAGGTCTGTGACCCCTCCCTGGACCCTAGCCTAATGCCCCCTGCACCCCATGCCTATGTTCCAGCTTCCTGGGTCTGCAGGTCCAGACGGGCGACACCCTCCATGTACCCAGGGGAGATCCCAGCCAGACACCTGCACCCCCGCCCTGGCTAAGAAGTTGCTTCCTGTTGCCAGCATGACCTACCCTCGCCTCTTTGACGCCCCCCGCTGCCACCTCCTTTTGCTCCTGGACCCTTTGGCCTCTCTGCCCTTCCTCTCTCTGACCCCAACCACCCCCCGCCAGCTCTGCTTCTCACTACTTGGGGGAGGAAAGAAACTCCTGATCGTTGGCCAAAGGAACTTACCCCTGGAGAGGCCAAGTACCTTCTAGGAAGTTAGGAGGTTGAGGCACAGTCCTGTGCAGAGAGGGCGGGTCACCCCCCAGATCCAAGGGGAAACTGCAGGTCAAGGGCTGGTAATGGCCATGCAGGAAGCTTGATGCTGCATACCACCCCCCACTCTGCTTGCCACCCCCCACCCCGCCATTTTATATAATAAAGCTCCCTGTGTATTCTCGTGTGCTGGCTGTCTTGTACTCACTAAGGGGGCAGGGCTGGCCAGGATGGAAAGATTGGGCCAGTGGCCAGCCCCTTCCCACACTGCACAGCATTCTGTGGCCTCTGGGTTCAGGCAGTCTGACCTGTCTCATGGCCTTTGCAGTGTAAGCCTCCAGGACATAAGCTCTCTGGTGGCCTAAGTCAGAGCACACACAATGGGTGGGGTCCAGGCTTCCTTTTCCAGAATGTCTGCGATATCCTACCCCCACCATGACTAGCCCAGTACAAACTTCTGTGCCCTGACTATGCACCCACTGAGGGCAAGATCCACCTCAGAGCCTCCCCCAAAACCACCCAGGAGGTCTCAGTGAAGGTTTGGTAAACAGACAAATGGGTGGATGGGTGAATGGGTAGGTGGGTGGATGAATGGATAGATGAATAGATGAATGGGTGGATGAGTGGACAGATAGGTGGGTGAATGGATGGGTAGGTGGGTGAGTGGATGCATGGCTGGGTGGGCGAGTGGAGGGATGGGTGAGTGGATGAATAGGGGATGGATGAATGCATAGAGCGATGTATGGATAAGTGAATGGGTAAGCAGGTGGGTGGATGGATGGATTGATGGATGAATCAGTGGGTGAATAGGTGAGTGAATGGATGGGTGGGTGGGAGGATGGCTGGCTGACTGGCTGGCTGGCTGGCTGGCTGGCTGGCTGGCTGGATGGATGGATGGGTTAGTGAATGGATAGGAGGATGGATGAATGGAGGGATGTCTGAGTGGATGGGTAGATGAGTGGGTGGATGGATGAAAGGATGGCTGGATGAATGGACAGAGTGAGGGAGGGAGGGAGGGAGGGATGGAGGGAGGGATGAGTGAGTGGATGGGTAGGTGGCTGGGTGGATGGATGGATGGAAGGAAGGAGGGATAAATGAAGGGATAGGTATGTGGTTGGATGGATGGATAGGTGGATGCATTGGAGGGATTGATGAATGAAGGGATGGACGCATGGATGGGTAGATGGATGAAGGGATGGATGAGTGGATGGACGGATGGATGGATAGGTGGATGGATGATGGAGGGATGGATGTGTGGGTGAGTAGATGAATGGATGGATGAAAGGATGGATGGATAGATAGGTGAGTGAGTGAATGAATACATGGATGGATGAATGGAGGGATGGATGAGTGGATGGGTAGATGGGTGGGTGGATGGATGGGTGAAGGGATGGATGCCTGGATGGACAGAGGGAGGGAAGGATGGATGGAAGAAGGGATGAATGAGTGGATGGGTAGGTGGGTGGGTGGATGGATGGATGAGTGGATGTGTGGATGGATGGATGGATGGAGGGAAGGAGGGATGGATGAAGGGTGGGTGGATGAAGGGATGGAGGGAGGGATGGATGGAGGGATGGATGGATGCATGAACGGGTAGATGGATGGATGAAGAGATGGATGGATAGATGGATGGATGGATGGATGGATGGATGGATGGATAGATAGATAGATAGATAGATAGATAGATAGATAGATAGATAGGTGGATGAAGAGATAGATGGATGGATGGATAGAGGATGATGAGGGATGGATGGATGCATGAACGGGTAGATGGATGGATGAAGAGATGGATGGATGGATGGATGGATGGATGGATGATGGGATGGGATGATAGATAGATAGATAGATAGATAGATAGATAGATAGATAGATAGATAGGTGGATGAAGAGATAGATGGATAATGCATATGATAGATAGATAGATAGATAGATAGATAGATAGATAGATAGATAGATGATAGATAGATAGATGGGTGGATGAATGGATGGATAGACTAATGATGGATGGACAGATGGCGGGAGGGATGGATGAAATGGAGGGATAAATGAGTGGATGGGTAGGTGATGTATGGGTGGATGAAGGGATGGACAGACAGAGGGATGGATGATGGAAGAGAAGGAGGGAGGAAGGAAGGAAAGAAAGCAGTGAAAGTGAGAGTGAATGCATGGGAATGAATAGATGGGTGGATGAATGGACAACTGTGAAACAGCAGACAGCCTGGGGACACCCTTCCTCCTGTCCCTCCTCTCCAGGTCCTGCACTGGGGCCTGACACTCAGCTCTGCAGCCCTCAGTGTCTGGGAAACCCCTTTGAGGAGCAGGCCCCCCAAACTCTGATGTTCTGGACTTCACTTTGCCATTCCCTTGGCTCCTCACAGCCACTATTTTCTGAAGGCTTCATGTCAAACCCTGCTTGTCTCATGAATACACACAGTTCAGAAAAGCAAAACCTCGACAAAGCCACCACCCACACAAGGGAGATGATGTGCCCCCATCCTTTCTCAGATGCCCCAGCCACTGAGAGAGCATCCAGGCCACCCTGCCCAGCTGGGGACCCACCCGGTGACAGCACTCCCTTCCTTTCCCACCCGATCTGGATGGGACGGTGACCAAGGGCAGCCGGCAGAGGCAGGCCCAAAGGCCACAGCTGAATACTCAACACTGGGGTGCAGAGTGGACAGCACCAGGGGCAGGGGGTAGTTGGGGTCAGCAGTGCTGAGGAGGCAGCCACTGCCCCCGCTGGCCCCCGACCAGCCCTGGCCTCTTGTCAGATCCTCCGCACCCCTCAGCTCAGCCTCGAGGACAAGGACCCAGGGCCTGTCCCTCTGAGCTCTGCCCAGCCACAGCCCTGCTGTGTTTCTGGTGCAGCCTCCCCTCCATGGTTACAGCGACCCCATGCTTCTGCTTCTGGAAACCTGGAGGTCAGGCCATGCCCAGTGCAGACGTCAGGAGGCTCAAAAGGGCTGCAGCCTATGAGACCCCTGGCCAGGGATGGCAGACGAAGCCCTTAACCTCTGTCCTGTCTGCCAGAGCAGCCACCTGACATCCTGTGACCCTTGCTACAGGCCCCTAGGCCAGCCCCACACAGAAGACGGCCATCATTTCTGCAGAATGAGTCAATTAGTCTGCACAATCAGAAGCACTAGGCATGTGGGGTGGCAGCTACCTCGGGCTAGAGCAGCTCAGTCCCCAAGTGCTGTGTCAGCTGCTCCTGTCCTGGGCCTGGCAGTGTCTGAGCCCACAACTGGGCCGAGTGGCCTCAGGCTGGAACCAGTTTGGGCACTCAGGTCAGCTCAGGGCATGAGGAGAGGCTCAGGACCCTCTTGGTCTCCACAACTCCCAACCATGCGTACTGGGTGCTGGGACCTAGATTGAGGGACCCCGGCCACCATCTGGGGGTCACCCAGGCAGAGAGCTGAAGCCAAGACACTCAGGAGGTCATCCTCCCTCCCACAGCCTGCTCCCCACTCCCTGGGCTTGGCTCAGCTTTCACCAGTTTCAGAACCTTCCCCATCCCCCAACAACTGCCTAGAGCCAAGGCCCCATGGTCCGTCCTCAGACTCCTCCTGCATGGAAATGCGTCCCCAACCCAGGCTGGGCCTCCCTTGTGCCATGCCCCCACCCAGGTCTATAGTGGCCCCCAGGAGGCCCCTGCCCTGCCTCCTCTCCTCGGACCACTCTGGTCAGGCCAGATGGCAGCAGGGCGCGGGTTACCTGGTGCAGACCCTCGAGGTCGCTGGTGCCTGCTCTGTGCAGTCCCTGCTACGCCTCAGGCCCAGCGCCCTGAGCGGGAGGTCGCTGATACCCAAAATAAAACCTGCCCTGTGCTTCTGACCTCAGCCGGCTGGGCGGAGAGCGCCTGCCAAAACCCGAGGAGCTGGGCAGGCAGCACCCTCCCCTGCTGGCCACCCGGGGCCAGTGCAGGGCCATGGCACGCCCACCTTCAGATGCGCCCCTCAGGACCCCTGGCTGGGGCGAGGACTTTGGTGGGCACAGGCTTCCCAGGCCTGTGGACTGAGCCATGTGTAACCACAATGGTGGGCTCAGGGCTCCGTTAGGGGAGCTGGCAGGGCCAGCCTGGAAAAGGAGGTTGGCCCCACCATGGGAGAGGACAGGGTGGGCCCGCCAACCTGCAGGAAGCCGCTCAGGTGCCTCTGAGGGAGCAGCTCTGCAGATGTCCCCAGTGGGCAAAAAGTTGGTCATGGATGTCCAGGGGCCAGGGTTGTGCATGGCCCCCAAAGCCTTGCCCATCGCGGACATGGACGGGGAGGGGAAGGTGTGGAGTGCAGAGGAAGCTACAGACCCAAAGCAGGACAGGGACGTTCCCAGCAACTCCAGCTTCAAGAGCCTTCCCAGTGCCCGGCACTCAGTGGGAGGCAGGCAGGGGACAGGCCCCATCCTTTGAAATGGCAGCCTGGGGCCAGCCCGCCTTGTCGCGTGACCTTAGGCACTCCCTGCCTGTCCTGGGCTCTGCGGCCTCACTCTTCCATGCAGGGGTGGAATGAGGTGCCAACCAAAGCCTTCCAGAAGGCCCCCGGCCCAGCCCCACAGCACTGTGAGCCCCTGCGCATTGACCTGATGTCCCTGACTCTAAGCCTGGGGAGGACAGGGACCTCATCTGTGCCTCTCGGGACTCACCCCTGTCCTGGGCGCTGGCCAAGAAGGAACCAACCTGTGCCTAAACCGGAGAGTTCCACAGACACCACCACCCACGCTCAGCCTGTGGGGTCTGAGGGGAGTAAGGGGGCGGGTCAGGGTGCCAGACTGCTCTCCCTCACCTGTTGCCTCAGTTTCCGTGATCCAAGAGGCAGGGCCATCCAAGCTGGTGGCCTCACTGGCCAGCATAGGGGTCATCAGAGGCCAGGAAGGGTGTCTGCTAGTCGGACGGTGCCACCTGGAGTCCTGAGGAAAGAAAGCCGGTCTCCACAGCCACCAGGAGCCTGTGAGAGATGCTGGCACAGATGGTAACAGCCACTGCGAGTGCCCAGGGTCCCGGGGCCCCAGGGTGAGAGAGGGCCTAGAGGGAGGACCCAGACCCTCACCCAGCAAACTCCAGATGTAGCTCCCTCTGACGGCACCAGCCCCAGGCGAGGTGTGGCAAACTCGGACTGCAGCCAGCCTGGCCATGTCCCTCGCCCGCTTATTGTGTGGGCCCCAGTGGCGTCCACCTGGGGAAGCACAGTTGACCTCTAAGGGGGTCTCAGATGGGATGGGGGCCTGGCCTCAGTTTCATGGGGGGTCTCCCAGGCCTCAGGCTGCTTCCTCCCCTAGACGAGACAGCAAAGGGCCTGGGGCAGTGAGCTGGGTATCGGGAGGGAACCCTGGCTGTGCAGACCCTTTTCCTGGACAAAGGTTTACTCCCACAGAACATCTCAGAAAGAAGGGGCAAGGGGATGGGAAACTTGGCAGCCCGGCTCTGGTGACCCCCACACCAGTTTGGCCCAAAGAGAGCCTCGGCTTTGTGCCCCAGGGCCACCCAACACCTTCCTCCTCCCCTCCTCGGCCCATCCAGAATGTGCCCGCTGCTGGAAGTAAAAATAGCAGCTGACACCTCCTGGAGGCGGAGGGAGGACCTTGCCTCCTTCTCCAAGCACGTCCTCTGCATCCTGGCCTCCTTCATCCTCCTCCTCTGGCTATTCCTATACTTGGTAAGGGGCCTGCACGGGCACAACCCCCCCACCCCCCCGCTGACTCCACACACACCCCGGCCACCCAGCCACTGGCCAATGGGCTGCTGGGAAGATCAAATGTCACTATAACACGAGGGTGTGAGCCGGGCGCCAGTGCCTGCAGCCGGTCCTGTCCACAGGGAGCTCCAGCCCTTCTCACACTCAACCGGCAGGTGGGTATGGGCAGGAACGGCCACCCAGGGCTGGGGCCGATGGGGCCTCCTGCGTGCGGGTGGACAGCCCCTTGTTCCAGGGACACTCTGGGGTCCTGGGGCACCGAGGTCCCAGGCCCGTGTGGTGCCGAGCATCTCAACTTGAAGCATGATGGCTCCGAGCCCCCAGGTGGCTGCTCCAGGGTCCAGAGAGTGTGGGATGAGGACACAGTGGTGTGATGGTCTCTGCACCGGGAGGACGCAGAAGAAGGCAGAGTGTGGGAGGCCGGGAGGGGAGAAGTTGGGGCTTAGGGACGCCCAGTGCTAGGGAGTGGCCTGAAGGCAGGAGGCAGAGAGGCGCGGGGTGTGAGTGGCAGGGAAGAGGCCATGCAGGGGCGCTGCCAGGGCTGAGGTTGCCGGCTTGCAGCCGCCATGTAGACATTTGCCTGGGCCCGTCCTGGCCTTGCCATGCTGCCCTCGCACCTGGGCCTCCAACACCGCCATTTTGTAGAGATGAAAACAAGGACAGGAGGACAGGGGCTCATGTATGGTCAGCCCAGGATGGTGTCGGGGCAGGGGCATCTAAAGCCCTCGCAGTCTTGGGGGCCAGCGTCTGGAGGTGCAGGACAGAAGTGAACAGGGGCTGGACTGGGGCAGGACGGGGCATGAATGAGGGGGTGGGCTTCACGGTGTCCCCCTGGCTGAAGGCTGGAGGAGCTGGTGCTCCTAAGAGCCCCCACCCACCCTCCCTGCCCTGGACACGGTCCCCCTGACTTGTGCCATCTGATCAGGCCTTGGGCGCCCCTCCTGAAGTCCATGGCGAACATGGGGCAAGGCATAGGTTGGTTGGCTGGACAGCAGGTCTGGGGGCATGGTCAGGACCACAGCAAGCAAGGGGCAGTGGTTCCTGCCTCCCCACCCCACCCTGGCCCCGTCACCTCCGAAGGAGGTAAGGGTGACGTGTGTGCCTAAGGAACCTGGCCGCATAGGTTATTTTCACGCAGCCCCTCTGAGGCAGGCACTAACTGGACACCTGCTTTGCTTCTCAGCTGTTGAAATGCCGTCCCTTGCCCCCAGCACACCCCTGCCACCAGCCCCTTCCCCAAAGAGGGGCGATGACACAGGCCATACTGCGGGGAACAGGACAGCCTTGTGTTGTTTCCAGGCGCTCAGCAGAAAACCAGATGCCTCAGTTTCCCCACTTCAAGAGTGGGCCTTTCCCACCTCACGTCGGTGGGCCTCGAGGTCACCCTGCCTGGGGGTGTCAGGGCACCCATGTGACTCTGGCCTGGGGGCACAGGAGGGAAATATGAGGAGCTGGGGAGGGCCTGGGTGCCCGAGGGTGAGGGGGCCGCTGCAGGCCAAGGAGGGCTGGGCTGTCACACCTGCCTCACCCACGTCTTGGGTTTCTGGGCAGAAATGTCTTGCCTATTTCTGGACACCTCAGCTGCCACTGGCTCCTTATAAATAACCCACCCCAGGCGAGGGCCACGCCGCCCCCATCTTGCGGTAGTCGACAGGTGTCAGCCCGGCCAGGGTCAGGGGTGGGCACAGCAGGGCGGGGCCGGGCTCCACTCCCTCCTTTCACTGACCCTCCTCCATACAGAGGGTGGCCCTACAGGAGGCTGTGGGGTTTGGGGCCCGAAGCAGCTAGGAGGACAGCATGAGGGGTCGGTGGGCAGCCCAGGACTGGGTCACACCGGGGGCCTGGACAACACTGGCTGGTGGGGTTGAGGACGGAGGAGAGCCTAGCCCAGCCGTGGCAGTTACAAGAGGCTTAACTTGAGGGGCAGCAGAGTTCAGGAAGACGTTCTGGGATGGGGAAAAGCGGCCCCCGTTGCCTGGAAGACAGCTATCTGCTGGGTAATTTTGCATGGAGCTTAAGTTGCTCTGGGAAAATTAACATTCTTGACAAAGGGTTTGGAAAACGGTTCCCACCTCAGCAATGCAACGTAGATGCATTTTTAGCTGATGAACGTGTGTTTTTCTTATACAGCACTCCCAGGGGGGACCGTAACTATTGTCTTCGAGTGATCTGTACTGTGTTGTAATGAACTTTGTTTTCTAAAACCCTGGCCAACATGCCGGTGCAGCTGCTCAGAGCCTCCCCAGGCCTGGCCGCCCGGTGTGCATCGTGGCCAGCTCACAGAGAGATGGTCCCCAGCATGCTGGCCTGGAGCCACCACCGCACATGGACAGGGCAGCCAGTCCTGGGCATGGAGGGACAGATCCAGAGCACCCCCGGGGCTGGGAAAAGCGGCCACTGGGAGGGAAATGGGGGTGCTTCTCAGTGGGCTCCTGCAGTCCAAGTATGCCTTGCACAGAGCCCGGCTCGGGGGGGTGCACGGGAAGCAGCCCAGACCCAACCCAATGTGCTCCAGAGCTCAGCCTCAGTGTCTTCAGGAGACAGGAGTGACAAGACGGAGCAGCTTCCCTACTCTGTGATCTTGGAGGAGGGATCCTCAGAGGGATGTGGTGGGCACACCAGGGACTCCGAGCACCCCATAGGAAAATGGGCACAGAAGGGAGCTTTGGGCTCAAACAGGGAGGAGGGGTTCTCATGGGGAACGGTAGGCTGAGCAGATTACCCATCTTGGGGAGCCAGCCTCGGTCATCCAGGGGCTCGCAGGGAGACCCCACCTACACCCACTGGGCAGAGAATACCCAGAGACAGGTTTCAGCTCCATCAGCAGGACTTCTCCAGTGTCCAGAGCGTGCTGGACGGCACACGCCCTGCATTCTGGATGACCCTCCTCAGGGGACGCTGCGGAGAGGATGTCTGCCCTGGGTGGGGGTGGATGCCACGACCTTCCAACATCCCGTCCAACTCCAAGATTCCAAGCTCCAGGCTGGAGCCAAGGCAGGAAGAGGGGACAGAGTCCGGGGCGCCAAGGGCTGGGAGGGGCCAGGAGCCCTGGAGGAAGGGGGGGCCCAAAGAGGTGGACTCGTCCAAGGCCAGAGCTGGCCCCCAAACCCTCCACGTAGTCTCCCCACAGCACTGCTCCAAGAGTCCATCCCCCACCCTACGCTCAGGCAGCTCCGAACTCTCTTTCCATCCTCTCTCTTTCTCTCTCTCTCTCTCTCTCTCTCTCTCTCTGTCTCTCAGTCTCTCTCTGCAGAAACCACCCACCTTCACCATGTCTGACGAGGAAGTGTGAGTACCTAGCTGGTGGCTACCCCCCGCCTGGCTCGGGACCCCGGCCCCTTGGCTTCTGTGGGCCTGGAGCACACCCTAACTTGCACAAGTCCAAGCAGAGCCCAGCCTCACCACCTCTCTCTTTCTTTCTCTCTCTTTCCCTGCCCCACAGTGAACAGGTGGAGGGTAAGTATAACCCATTTTCCTTCTACTTCCTGCTCTAGAACGAAGGGTCACACCTGGGCAGGGGGTTGGACTATGCATACCATGTGTCCCCTTAGCAGCCCTACATCGGCTACATGCCATGGGTGCCTTCTGAGTGACCCCCAGGAAACAGCTGTCCGACTGGGGGCCTCGAGGGTCTTTTCCCCGACGGGTGGCCACACAGTCCTGAGGGGCCTGCAGGTCAGGTTCTGGGTCCTGTCTCTCTGCCTCTCTCATGCCCACTGTGGGACGTGGCATCCAGAACCCCTGAGCCCACCGAAAGCCACCATCATCACCAGAGCCTCTGCCTTCCTCAGCACCTCCTCTGGGCTCGAGGACCCTCAATTCCACACCCTTGGCCAGGAGGAGTCACTGGCCTGTCTAGGGCCGGGACACACCGGCCTCTCCTCCTCTTCCTCCTCCCTTCACGGGCGGCCCCTTCTAACGTGGTTCCCCTCTTTTGTTCTGTCCCAATGCAGAGCAGTACGAAGAAGAAGGTAATTCTGGCAACCGCTGGAAGCCCCCCAGCCCCTCCTTAGAACTTAACCCCCTCCCCGTGTGGCACTTACAGAACCCCCTCCCCAGGCTGCTCCAGGCCGCCTTGAGCTTATCAATCAACCATCCATCTCTCTTATCATTAGTCATTAACAATCACCATTCATCATTAATTAATGATGAATGAGGCTGTCACTTAATTACTGATGAATGAGCCAGTAAATCATCACTAACCCCTGTCTCTTTAATTGATTAATATGCACTCATGATCCTTCATTTATCCTTCATCGTCTGTGTGCCGTGGTGTGTGGGGTTCGCTGGGGCTGGTCATGAGGGCCTCACTCTCGTTAACACCGGGTGCCCCACCGTGCCCAGCGCTGCTGTCTTTCAGCCTCTCTCTCTATGTCTGCCCTCCCGGCACCTCAGAGTCTCTCCATCTCTCTCCAGTTCCTTTCCACATCTCTCTGGGCACCCTGGGCTCTCTGTGTGCCTGTTTATCTCTCAGCTTCTCTCTGTCTCTGTATCTTTCAGCCTCTTGGTCTCTGTCTCTCCCTGCCTCTCTCTCTCAGTCTCTGTCTCTCTTGGCCTCTCTGTCCCCATTTCTCCACCTCCATCTCCATCTCTGTCTCCCTGTGTCTCCATCCCTCCGTACCACCCACTACCCTGTGCTGTAACCCTGGGTGGAGCCTGGAGCCCCCTCCCTGTGCTGGCCAGGTGTGGTCTGTGGGCGTCTCCATCGTGCCCGGGCAGGCGTGGGCGGGCGTGGGCGCGGGCGCACCTGGGAACCGTGCGGGGCGGCAGTTCTCAGGCCGACGACGCTGCCCTGGAATCCCTGGCACCCGCTCAACTGGGGAGCGCGTTCACGCAACCTTAACAGACAGGGCTGTCCTGTGAGGAGTCCTAAGTGCTATGTTTTGAAAATATTTTGAAAACACTTGGCTACCCTAACAACGTCAGCAAAACATTTCTTTTTCTCCCGAAAAGGTGGAAAGACTCATTTCTGGGAGGGAACTGTGGCCCTGGGGAGCCACCTTTTCTCTTGGGGCAGCTACAGGGTAGGCTGGGAGGCCACGGAAGGCCACGGAAGGGTCTTCATGTGACATGTCTCCAAAGACCCCTCGGTGCCAGCCTTGTTTCCGGGCGCACTCAGAGCCGGGGCTTCCCACAGGCCCTGTGGGTTTTGTCCCCGTCCTCACTTGCGTCACCTGCAAAGTGGGACTTAGCAAGGGCCTCTGTGCACAAATGCCTCCAGGCATGGGAGGGAATACCCGGCCCTCAGGAGGGTAGGAGGGACCTCAGAACCCCTCTCAGGGGCTGGGCCCAGCCCAACTGACAGTGACCAGCTCTGCTGGTGGGAGTCTGTGCTCCCCAGTCTTCTCTCCCCAGAGATGCAGGACTGACCCCCATCTTTTACCCCGGCCAAGTGAGCCCCAGGCCCTCTTCTCCCGGCCAGCCGGCCTCCTGTCCTTGCGGCCTGAGTACACTCTAATCACTGTCTCTGTTCCCTCTCTCCCCCAACCCCGCCTTCTTCTGCTCCTGGCTTCTCCGGCTCTCAGAGGAAGCCCAGGAGGAAGGTAAGTGGGGTCCAAGGCCCCAGCTCCCATGTCCACTCCCCAGCCTTCCTGCCCCACCCGACATTGACCTCCACCCTGCCTCTAAGGATTGCTGTGTGCCCCTGTCTAACCCTCTCCTCTCTCCCCCTGCCACCTGCACCCCCGGCTCTCCTCAGCTGCAGAAGTCCATGAGGAAGGTATGAAGACACAGGACTTCTGGTCCCCATGTGGGGCCCGGGGCCTGGCTGGAGCCCACGTGGGGGCGGGGGAGAGGGTGGGGAAAGCATGAGGTACCAGCCAGCCAAGGGGCCTCCACATGTGGCCCTAATGTAACCCACTAACCACAGCCAATGCTTGACCAGAGAGGGCGTGGGGTTTCCAGGGTGGGCCCCCTTCCCCATAGCCTCCCAGGCAGCAGGGCCAGGGGCTCCCCAGGCTGGGCTGCTGGTCAGCAGGGTGTCCCCAAGCATGGGGCAGAGGGGACACATAGGCCCACCCTAGTCCTCCACCCCAGGGTGAGCAGCCAAGAGCCCATGGTAGCGTTGAGCCCTGGGCCTGGCCAGGACCCCCCGCCACATCTTGGGACACCACAGAGTGAGGGGAGAGAAAGCAGCTGCGGGCAGAACCTTGCAGCCTGGCACAGTCAGCTCCCTCGTGCGTGTGCCCTCGCCAGCCCCCCAAGCCTTCTGCTGTGAGACCCTTGAGGTGCACCCAGGCTGGGGGTGGATGGGAGGGCTGGGGTTCTATGCCCAGATCAGCAGGCAGAGCCATCATTGGTGCCCAGGGCTGCCAGCACCCTAGGATTGTGGAAAGAATCCCATCAGGGAAAGGAAGAGTGGGCCTCCAGCTGTTGGGATGGCAGGAATGGGGGTCCTGGGGATGCCTTCCATGGCCCATCTGTGGCTCTGCCTCCCAGGGCTGCCAGCACTGCCTTTGTGGGCCCCTGGGGTTGCCTGGCCAGGCTACAACCTTGCCCGTGGGCCTTGGTGCCCCGGCCAGAGGCACAGACACCCTTCTGGGGGCACCCCAAGACAGATGGGATGGGGGCAAACAAAGGAAGGCCCAGCCCCAGTACTGAGTCTTCTCTACCAAGGGCTAGAGCCACAGCTCATCTCAGTTTCCCCACCTGGGGTGCTCCCAGATGCTGACAGCAGGGTTTGGGGACATGGGACTGGGGTGGTGGCCGTGCCTGGGCTAACTCTGACCGTGTCTTGCTCGATCCCCGCACACGCCCCACCCTCGGCCTCGAGTGGCGACGGGCCGCTTTTCCATTAACCTCGGACCCTTCTCCTTTGACCTCTGACCCGCGGTTTTGCCTCTTGTTCCGTGGCCTCCTTAGCCCATGAAGTTCATGAACCAGGTACGTGCATGACTTCAATGCCACATGGGCACATGTGGCCATGTGGGGGGTGCAGGAACCAAGAAGGAACAAGAGGGGCCGCGTAACCCTGCACAGCCTGGCCTGCTTGCCCCACCGCCTCAGCCCTGCCAACCCCCCCTTTCTCTGCGCTGCCATCGCTCACACTGGTTCTCTCTCCCTCCCGCCCTCTCTGCCCACCACGATGCTGCTTCTGCAGAGGAAGTTCAAGAAGGTACGCTGGTGCTCCCCAGCCTCCAGGCCAGAGCCCCCGTCCTCCCTTCTGTCCTCTCTCACTTCCTCCCTCTTGCCCACCGCTTGTGACATTTGCCACCAACAACGTAACCGGTTCTGGCCTCTGGGCTGGGGACAGAGTGAGGACCCCGGCTTAGGAAGGGCTGGTGTCAGCGGGGTGCAGGTTTCCCTGGGTCTAGCAGGCAGAGAGCATTGATTCCATAGCCTGGGGGCAACGAGGCTCTTCCCGGGCTGCCAACAGGAAGGTGGGAGGTGGGGGTGGCCAGCCTTGAGGCTGAGGCAGAGCAGGCCTTGGGAGGACTGTGCTGGGGTCCACTGGGACCCTCTGGATCCACCAGGGTGGGGTGGGAAGAGCGCGGGAGAGGCCTCCACCCTGCTCCAGTTAGCAAGCCAGAAGTGGGAAGGTAGGGAGGGGTGAGGTGGAAGGGAGGGTGGAGGGGCAAGTGGAGTGAAGCAGAAAGGCAGGCTGAGGCCCAAGGTGGGGACGCTGGGGACCCGGAACAGCCGGGGGCCATGCGTGCAAAGGCGCAGCCAGGTCACAGCATCCCACCCATTGCCTGGGCCCGAGCCAGACACACCCAGAGTGAGGAGGCCCCCTGGGTGGGCCTGGCCTTCCTGGCAGTGGGGCTGGCCGTACCCCTGGGCGGAGGTCAGAGAGCTGCACGTTCAAGTCAGGGGCCCCAGCTGGGGAGCGTTTCTCAGCTCCCCCCACTCACGGGCCGTGGAGCTGAGGGGCTCCTCCCTGCTGGGCCTGAGCTCTTGCATGACTCGAGCCTCAGAGAGGCCCCTGGACAAGAAAGGACATGCCAGGAGGGGGATGGGACTCCAGCCGTGCAGGGAGGGGTCCAGGAGATGGCCTATGGGGGTGACAGGGTCGCTGGGTCCCTCTGGAACCAGTACTGAGGCCAGTGGACGGACAGACAGACAGACAGCAGGGGAGGGTGGAGCAGGAGCAGAGGAGGCAGGGCCGCGGGACAGCTTTGCTGCTTGGCCGTGTGGTCGCTCCCCACAAGCGCTCAGCCTCCCACCCAACCTCACCCTCCCCCCTGGCTGGCCCTTCCCACCCGGGGGGCTCCTCAGCCACGCACTGCGTCCAGCAAAATCCCTAAGTCAGGGAGGCTGGGGCCAGCAGCCCATTCATCATCCTCACCACGTTCCTTCAGGGCCCTTGGCCAGGCTGTGGCACTCAGGATGCCCCACGGCTCACTCCCGGTGCACACGTCCCCCAAGGCATCTGGAACGGGTGACCTCAGGCCCACTTGCAAAATCAAGAGCGCTGGCGGGCTCTCTGGTGGGGGCTCCCAGGCAACCAAAGTATCTGCCAGCAAGGAGGACTCAAGGACCAGTGCACCCCGGGCCAGGCACTGGCAAGGCAGGACCCCCACCCCTGGGCCCAGGACTGCTGGCCTTAGCCAAGTGCAGGGGACAGCACTGGGCCAGACTCGGAGGGCCGAGGGCATTGCGTGTCAATGGCCTTGCTGCTACCTAAGGCCCAGAGCAGGGACTGAAGGAACAGGACAGGCGGGTGCCACTATGCCAGCAGCAGACCCCCCTCCTGGGCCCCAGCCAGGCCAGGCCAGCCAGGTCCACCCCAGGTCCAGGAGCCGAGTGTATCCTAAAAGAAGCCGCCCGTTACTAGGGCGGCCAGGTCAGGCCAGGCAGGCCCCAGAGAAGCCAGGGAGAGGTAGCAGGGGGGTCCCAGAGGGGCCCAGTCTCAGGACAGCAGCCATGTGGCAGTCAGACGGCAGGTCCCAGGGAGGTGAGGGGTGAGCACGCCTGGGCTCCTGGCCTGTGGATGGGGGCTGCGGTGGACATTCTGGGCTCAGGCAGGGGCTCCTGGGGCTGAGACCAGCAAGGAGTTAGACATCACGTTGCCGGCAGAGGCTCCTGAGGCCTGAGGGCTGTAGTCATTCCATGGCCTACTGGGTTCCACCCAGCAACACTGCCTTTACAGGCAGGGGTCAGGCTCCAGGAAGCACCAAGCGAAGGGGCTGCACCCACCCCAGATGCAATGCCCTCTTGGTGGGGAGGGTCTCAGATTCCAAGGTTGGCCCTGCCAGACCCAAGGGACAGACCGGGGGGACAGATGAGACCCAGTGCTCTTAGCCCCCCACGTTGCCCCTTGACACTTGTAGGGCCCCATAGGCGCACCCCGGGGAAGAAAGAGTCCGAGTGAGAGGGGTGGGCCCCTTGCCCGCCACAGGCCCCTTGCCCGCTGCTCCCGCAGCTGCGCTGGCTTTTCTCTTGCATGTGTGCTTGTGCCTTTTGCCACCTGGAAGACACCGCAGAGGAGGATGCGGAAGGTAAGGGCCCGTCCCGCCGCCGGAGGTGCAGGACCCTGGCTGTAGCCGACGCGAGGGAAAGAGGACGGGCTGGGGTCTCTCGCTGCCCTGCCTCCCTCTCCCTCTGTCCTCTCTCTCTTCCCCCGGCACGGGGGCCTCAGAGGGCCAGGCCTTGCTGCTCTGCACGGTGTGCTGGGGTCGGGCTGCCAGGGCCTTGCGGGTGCCACCGCTCCAAGCTTCTGCCACACAGTGGAGGGGGAGTAAGCGGGACCAGCCAGCAGTGCCAGAGCCCGGGCAGAGCGCCCCCCTCCCCTTTCTCCCGAGCCCCTTTCCTCCCCATCTTCTTTCCGGGCCCCTGTCCTCTTTCCTCCGTCTCCTCCCTTCCCAGCCTTCAAGGATGCTGCCTGTCTCGCTCCTATTTCTTCCCTACCTCTTCCTCACCCTTCCTCCCGGCCCCAGGCCCTGAGTTCTTCCCCTCTGACCCTGCCAGGGGCTTTTGCAGGCCTAGAGCAGAAACAGGATCCTCTTGTTTCTGGGGGTTGGGAGTACACCCAGCTGAAAAGGACAGCGGCTTTCAGCGAGGGGGACCCCAGAGCCCCAGGCGACCCAGTCTCACCCAGGCTGTCTCTCTCCCTCTCCCCACACTGGTGTCCCTCTTCCCATGCTGGTGCTGTGCGGACCAGAGGAGAAACCAAGACCCAAGTGAGTGTGGGGTGGGGGCGGCCAAGTGAGTGTGGGGTCCTGGCAGGCCCGGCGCGGAGCGTGTTCTGGGGAGGGGGCAGCCAAGTGAGTGTGGCGCCCAGTGACTGTGTTCCATGGTGGGGGTGGAGGAGCGGGCCAGGGCCAGATGCCTGGAGCCTGCATTCGGAGGGATGCTCAGAGCACAGGGTGGGAGGGATGAGGGTCACCTCGGAGATGGGCTTGGAGGCCCAGCAGGGTGTGATTTTGCGAGGGGTCATTCGGTGCAGACAAAGAGGGCTTCCTGCAGGAGGAGGCTACTGACGCAGAAGAAGGGAGGAGAGGTGGGTGGGAGAGAGTTGAAGAAGGAAGGCAGGGTGCCGGGTGCAGGGAGTCGCGCCACTGCGCCACCTCATGGCCTTCGGGGGGCCACATCATGCCCCGCCATACTTCGAGGACTCCCAGAGCCCTAGATGTGAAAATCGACAAGAAAGTGAGTCCAGAAGTGGGGAAAGGTGGGGGACTCACCCCAGAAACCCACTTCAGAATGACACCTTGACCGTGTCCGAAATAGCTCACCGTGCAGGGGCCCCTGTCCCCCTTTGGGGCAGAATTCGGAGCATCTTGTCCTCATGGCACCTGCTTGTGAGCACTTCATGGGTTTGTTTTTTTACTGCAGCTCTTCTGACTTTTCTGCTTTTGATCAGTACTCACCAGCCGCAGCACTCACTATGTGATTCACCCTTTTATCTCTCGAGTGCTCTTGCCTGCGTTCTGCTCTGTGCGAGGTGGAATCTCATAGTGTCTTAACTCACTGTTGGGTCCCACTTGGGGAGCACTGCAGATTCTCAGAAGAGTGAGAACATCTGAAGGGTACAGCCGGCATATTCCCATCCTTTGCACTGTATTTTTCAGTGATTTTAAGTACAGTAATGCCAGATCACGAGATATTTTCTCATTTTAGAAAAATTGTTTGTGTTTTCATTATGAAAATAAAACACCTCATGAAAGAAAATTTGGAAAATACATAAAAGTCAAATAAAGAAAAAACATCATCTATAACTCTCCCACCCAGCCAGCCAGACTGTGGAAAAGAGCAGAAAGAACTAAAAAGCCTTATTTCTTCCTTTTTTCCATGCATAGCGCTTGGAAAAAAAGATTTAAAGTCGGCCCTGTTTTTCAAACATCATACCGTCTCTGCAGCCTTGAATTCTGCTTTTTTAAAATTTAGCACTATTCATAAGTGTTTTTCCATGTTTTTACACAGTCTTCTTAAATATTTTGAATGGCCACATAATATTCCATCAATTGGACAAACCGTAATTTTCCTAACCATTCCCCTATTGCAGGCTTTCCCCAATATTTTACTATCATAAATAACGCCGGTTGGAAAGCGTTTTCTGTCTTTAGGGTTATTTCCGTAGGCCACATTCCCAGAACTGGAATTACTGGGTCAAAGAGTATGAATGTTCTTAAGGCTTTGACATCCACTGCCAAATTGCTTTCCACAAGGGCCTGGCCAACGCCGTCTCCTACGTGGGATGTGAGCGGGTCTGTGTCCCACACCCTCCTCACCCAGGGACAGGAACGTGCTTTTACATTGCAGCCTCTGATGGATGAGAAACGGCACCTCATGGCTGCTTGGCTTTGCGCCCTAACAGTCACTCGGGGCCAACATTTCCCTGACTTTGGGATGGGTCGTCTTTTCTCTGAGAACTCATAGCCATGACCATTGCTCATTTGTCTCCTGGTGGAAGAATCTCTGTGTTTTTTTAGTCATCAGTTTGCATAAGGATATAAGTCTTCTCTGTATTTGCTGAAAATATTTTTTTAGTCTTTTTTTTCTTCGCCTTTCCATTTTCCGTTTTTTTTTTTTTTTTACATACATAAGTTTTTCATTTGTGTGGCGTCATCTGGCCTTCTTTCCCTTAGAGGCACCTTCTGGTGCTTCTGAGCTTAGGAAACCTTTTCCTGCTCCAGTTTTTGATTGATATTTAGCTCCACTTTCTTCTATGGTTTGTTGGAAAAAAATGGTTGTTGTTTTAACTCTTTGCTGCATCTGGAATGTATTGGTGAGAGGAGGGGACTGCACACCCAGCCGGAGAGGGGCCTCGCTTCCCCTTCAGATTGCTTTCTTCCCAGCCCCCTCTCCTCCTTCCTTTGGGCCGCCAGAGAGAAAGATGAAAGAGGGGCTGGGGAAAGGCACAGGCTCGCAGTGGCCGTTCCTGCCCAGGGAGGCCACCGCCACCCACAGTGGCTATAGCTTCTCACCCAACCTGGCTGCGTCTGTTTATCTGTTTGAGAAGGAAACGGAGGTGCCCTCCTGGTAGCTGGGGTGCAGCGACACTGGCAACGGCCAGAAGCTGAAAGGCAGATGGCAGCGCTGAAAGCTAAAGCATTCTTGAGGGTCTCAAGCCACTCTCAGGACGGTGGGCTACAAACCTCATAAGAATAAAGCTGGGGCAAACGTGCCACTGGGCGGGGCATCCTTGGCTAGGGGCCAGAGCAGGAGGGCACCAGGGTCAGCAGGGGCCAGTGGGGAAAGCGCCAGGCTGACCCTCTGGGGTGGGTTCCCGGGTCTCTGCTCATGGGCCTCTCTGTCTCCTCTTCAGACTCACTGCTCCTAAGATCCCAGAAGGGGAGAAAGTGGACTTCGATGTAAGTTTACAGGACTCTGGTCAACATGGCCACGATTTCCCCACACCCCAGCTTTTGGGCTCCAGGCCAGGCCTCAGATGGTCACTTCCTCCCAAGCAGCCAGAGCTGGGGCCTCCTGGGTCCGGGCAATTCTACCATAACTTATTCCTGGACCAGAGGAAATCCCTCTAAAACTAAACTTCTCTCTTCCCTTCTCCTCTGTCTATCCTTCTATCCATCCATCCATCCACCCACCCACATAAGCTCTACCCATTCACCTATCCATCCATCCACTCACCCATGCACCCACCCATCCACCCAACCATCTATCCATCCATCCACTCACCCATGCACCCACCCATCCACCCAACCATCTATCCATCCATCCATCCACTCACCCACCCACCCACCCATCCATCCATCCATCCATCCATCCATCCATCCATCCATCCATCCATTCATACCACTCATTCATCTACTTATCCATCCATCGATCCATGTATCATCCATTCACTCATGCAACCATCCACTCATCCACTCTCCCACCCACCCACCCATTCACCCATTCATCCTCCCATGCACCCACCCATCTATCCACCCACCCAGCCACTCACCCACCATCCACACATCCTCTACCATTAATCCACATATCCATCCCTCTGCCCATCTACCTATCCATCCATTCATCCATCCACCCAGTCATCTGTCTCCATCCTCTCTCACTCATCCACCCATCCATCAGTTCATCTGTTCACATGCCTCTCTATTTATCCAACAATTTCTCTCACTCAGCAGTCTTCTCTCTGCCAGGCCAATGCAGGGCATCTCTGAGGATGATGACAGAGCCAAGTCAGGGTCAGTTCATCCTAAGGATGCTGAGGACCTTATGGCTGGGCACCATCCCTCCTCTGTGGCTCAGAAATCAGGCCACCCTTGGCCCCTATGAGGACAGCAGCCGTGGCAATGTGGAGAAGGCGAAACATTCCTTGCCACTTGCCATTTTCATGGTGGCCAAGGGATTCGGGGCTTATCTGCTGGGGCAAGGGAAGGGACCTCTTGCTGCAAGGCAGGCCAGGCAGGGCAGGGGTTGGAGAGAGGGGTGGGGCTGACGCCCACTGCCCCTGCCCACAGGACATCCAGAAGAAGCGTCAGAACAAAGATCTAATGGAGCTCCAGGCCCTCATCGACAGCCACTTTGAAGCCCGGAAGAAGGAGGAGGAGGAGCTGGTCGCCCTCAAGGAGAGAATCGTGAGTGGGGCAGTTCAGGTTGCAGCAGGGGCCGGTGGACACCGTTGGAGGACCTGGGGACAGAGCTAAGCAGACGCACTTCTCTGGACACAGGAGAAGCGCCGTGCGGAGAGAGCGGAGCAGCAGAGGATTCGTGCAGAGAAGGAGAGGGAGCGCCAGAACAGACTGGCGGTAAGGAGGGCACCATCCCTACCGCTGTCTCATCAGCGAATGAACCCCAGGCCCAGAGAAATGCAGGGGACTGAGGCCTTCCTCCTCCTGGGGTTCCCATTGTCATTGGCCAATGATCAGAGCCACTGGCTAAGTCCCCCACGCCCTGCAGAACCCCTTGCAAGACAACAAATCCTGGCCAAGACCTGGAGCTTCCTTCCAGAGAGTTCTAAGCCCAGGGTGGGTCCTTCCAGAGAGTTCTAAGCCCAGGGTGGATTCTTCCAGAGTTCTATAAGCCCAGGGTGGGTCCTTTGAGAGTTCTAAGCCCAGGGTGGGTCCTTCCAGAGAGTTCTAAGCCCAGGGTGGGTGCTTCCAGAGAGTTCTAAGCCCAGGGTGGGTCCTTCCAGGGGGTTTCTAGGCTTGGGGTGAGTCCTTCCAGACAGTTCTAAGCCCAGGGTGGGTCCTTCCAGACAGTTCTAAGCCCAGGGTGGGTTCTTCCAGACAGTTCTAAGCCCGGTGGAGTCCTTCCAAGGGATTCTAAGCCAGGGTGGGTCCTTCCAGAGTTCTAAGCCCAGGGTGGAGTTCTTCCAGACAGTTCTAAGCCCAGGGTGGGTCCTTCCAGAGAGTTCTAAGCCCAGGGTGAGTCCTTTGAACAGTTCTAAGCCCAGGGTGGGTCCTAAAGCCTGCCCAGAAAGCACACCCCCTCTCTCCATCCCTGAGCCCAGGGTGAGTCCTTCCAGACAGTTCTAAGCCCAGGGTGGGTCCCTAAAGCCTGCCCAGAAAACACACCCCTCTCTCCATCCCTGAGCATCGTGGGGATGGGGTCTCCACAGGAGGAAAAGGCCAGAAGGGAGGAGGAGGATGCCAAGAGGAGGGCAGAGGACGACCTGAAGAAGAAGAAAGCTCTGTCTTCCATGGGAGCCAACTACAGCAGCTACTTGGCCAAGGTATGTGCCGCTGCTGGGAGCATGGTGGCAGCCTTCAATGTGGGCTGTGCCCTGCGCCCTCCTGAAACCAGGCCCCTCTCTTTGGACTTGTCCCCTCCAGGCTGACCAGAAGAGAGGCAAGAAGCAGACGGCCCGTGAAATGAAGAAGAAGATTCTTGCTGAGAGACGCAAGCCGCTCAACATCGACCACCTCAGTGAAGACAAACTGAGGTGAGGGGTGGCTGCTGCGGGGCTGCCTACTGCTCCCCAAGCCACCAAGGACTGTGCTCCTCAGTGGCTGGAGGAGGACTCCAGGGCCCCGGCCCTGCCTTTGGGGCTTATTCAACAAAGCCTCACCCCTTCCTCTGCCCCAGGGACAAAGCCAAGGAGCTCTGGGAGACCCTGCACCAGCTGGAGACCGACAAGTTCGAGTTTGGGGAGAAGCTGAAACGCCAGAAATATGATGTGAGTCCTGGCACCTCCGGCCCTGGGGCCCTAGCAGCTTTTACCCACCCGCCAGAGCACCCACTCCCTGCGTCCCGAGCAAACTCTGGACCTGCCCATCGCAGGGCCCTGGGACCTGAGAGGCCCACACAGGCTGTCGCCACTGACCCCTGGATGAGGCTGCTCTCCTGATGGGGACTGTGGCCAGAGCCCGTCCTCCTGGCTGGCCACGCAGCACCCTGAGCGATGAACCTGACCCCTGTGGGCGGCCTTGGTCACCCCTGCCATGCGGACTGTCATGGCAGAGCAGCCATGGCCGAGTGGACTCAGGGTTCATTTTCTGAACCCTTTAAGCTTAAAGAAAGTCCCCATCATCACCGAGCTCAGCCCTGGGGCACCAAGGCCGTCCGGTGTGGGGGGTCCTTTCCACAGAGCCTCCTCCGCAAACCCAGGCTCTGGCTTCCACCAGGGCCCCAGACATCTGCTTCCTCGGGGCAGGCAGAGAGGGGTGACACGCTGCACCCCGCGGCTGGAAAAGGGGGCCTGAGACTGTGCCCCCCTGGGACGGAGCAGAGCCCCCATCCCATGCAGGCGTTATCGCTGCAGGCAAAGCTGGGGCTGGGGAAGGCAGCCTGCCTGGGTGGCCTCAGGGACTGGGGTGCGGTGTGGGAACTAGGATGGAGGCCGAGATGCTTCCCACCCTCCCAAACACCCGTGTGGGCTCCAGGGGTGAGGGGTGCAGCCGTGGGTGACCTGTGCGCTTGGGGCAAATGCAGACACTCCAGTATCACCATCAAGGACACGATGTGCACCCTCCAGCACCGCCAGAGGCCCTAGGGGAGAGCAGCTTGCCCACGGGGCCTGGGCTCCACTCGGGTGCAGGGGTGCGGGATGACCCGTCCAAGCCAGCCAGGCAAATCCGAGCACCTTCTCAGGGGCTCTGGGCATGCCACCTGTTCCACCCGAGCTTCCGCGAGCTCCCCTCCCACAGAAGCAGGATGATTACACTCCCTCCCAGAGCTGTCCCCAGGGGGTCCAGGCATGGGGGACAGCCCTGACTTCACCCTCGGGGGTCTCTCAGAGGGGCTGGCCCTGAGTTGGGCTTCACTGCACAGGACCCAGGCTGTGTTCCCAGAGCTGAGTCAGGGACCCACTGGCTCTGGATAGATGCGGCCACAGCGGGTCCCTAGGGACTGCAGAGCCTGGAGGGCCATCACCAGGCCAAGCTAGCCCACAGCTTTGATGCTGCCCATCCAGTCTTGTAACCATCTTGGTCTTTCTAGATCATGAATGTCCGGGCCAGAGTGCAGATGCTGGCCAAGTTGTAAGTAGCCGGGTCCGCCCTGGGCCAGGCCCGTGGGTGTGCACTGCACGGTGAGGTGAACCTCTCGCATGGCAAAAACCTGGGTCGCTCAGGATGCTGGTGGCAGGGGGCCTGGAGCCTTCCTCCTGCTCCCGCTCTCCCCTTGTGCCTGCAGCCGGGGGCTTCCCAGTGGCCGCTGCCCTGTTGGCAAGCGAGGAAGGGCCCCCACCTTCCTAGGAGCTCCGCCTCAAGCCAGCAGTGGCCACGGAGTGCCCCCGGGTGCAGGCAGGAGGGCAGGAGCGGCTGGTCCAGGAGCTCAGAGCTCAGCAGTTGAAGGGAGCTGGAACTGGGAAGGAGGGGTCCGCAGGCCTCACCTGCACCCTCCCCACCCCACCATCCATGCTCTGTGCCCCCACCCCACATCCTGCCGCAGGCTGAAGGTAAGTGGCCAGCTACGGGCTGCTGTGTGTGGCAGTCCAGGCCAGTACAGGTTGGCGAGAGTAAGTCCAGGCACGAGCCCGAGGGCCAAGGGACAGTGTCCCCCTGCACAAGGAGCCAGGAGACAGTAAGGGAGCCGAGGAGCCCTCGTGGGGGCCCAGCAGCCCTGGGTCGCCCAGCCCAGCCCACCCTGCGGTGGAGACACACAGGCCTGGCTCTTGGGTCGTCGCAGTGAGTCACTCATGTTGTTCACAGATCACCACGCTCAGAAGCCGCATCGACCAGGCCCAGAAGCAGTGAGTAGCCCTGTTGTCCTCACTCCGCGCTGGGCACAGGGGCCCTCCCGGCCGGCCGCTGTCGCCAGTACCTAACAAGGGCCGGTGGTGGCTGGCCTGGGCGGGCAGTAACGAGACTAACTCGGTCAGGCCACCCAGGCCAGCATGCACAGGCCTGTGGCCAGGGACCCGGAGCCTCTTCCCTCTCCTGCACGCAGGGGAGCCCTGGGGGATGGCAGAGTCAGGAGGAGGGAACCCAATGGGGCTTGTTTGTCACGCCCTCGCCCCGAGTATGGCACTGGCTACAGGGACAGGGCAGCCAGGGGACCCCTAGAAGGGGCTGCTTGGGTGGCCTTTGGTGTAGCCAACCTGGGCCCCGGGGTATCTGCCAGTGTCCCACCCTCCAAGGGGACCTAGGACAGGGAATTAAGCAGCCAGGGCTTCGTCACCAGCCCCTCTGTGACGCTGGGCAAAATCATGGACTCCTCAGGATGGTGACGCCTCGTCCATAAAATTGTGTCCCGGGGGGCTGTGGGATCCCTTGGCACAGCTACTTGACCACCCGCACGGGGCTGCACCCAGGGTGCCCCCGGCAACGCCACACGGGGGATCCTGTCACCCAGCCCAGCTGCGCAGCCAGTTCCGTTTCTCCAAGCATCGCGGTGTTTAGGGGCTACTTGGAGTTTCAATGTTTTCTGGGATTCTTGTCCCTCCTCCTGTAGCCCCGGCTTTCCTGTGGCGCCCAGGGCAGGCTCCTCCCTGGTGCACGCGACCTCACCGTCTCCCTGTTGTGCCATCAGGGGTCGTTGCAGGAGCCTCTGAGGGCGGGCAGTCGGCGTGGTGTGCATGTGCCTGCGTGTGTGCACGTGTGCATGTGCTGAGGGTGCTCAGGAACGTGTGTGAGGGCACGGCCTTTGCCAGCCAGGCGTCCTGCTGAGCAGCCGCGTCTGAAAGGGGCTGGCTTCGCGGGCCGGAGCACTCCTGTCCTCCTCCTGCCTCCGTCCCTCACCCGAACCCAGCTCCTCCTGGCTCTCGGCCACGTGAAGGCCTCAGACAAACGGGGCAGGTTCCTGGGACCGCCACCCCTCAGAGGCCACCGTCTGGAGGGCCAAGGGCTCTTTCGAGGCCAAGTGAAAGGATTATCATTATCTGCCAAGACGGTCTTCCCAAGCTCGGGGTCTGTCTGCAGTGGTACCTCAGGCAAGGAAGGAAGGACAAAGGGAGGGTGCCCTGGGCTCACGTGCCAGCCCCCTAACCACACTAATGATCTAGGCCCGCCAGGCACAGGTGAGTGGGCACTGCCTGGACTGAAGCTGGGTGTGCGCTGAGAGCTTGGGCCAGGCCTGTGCCCAGAGAGCAGTGTGGGGTCGGGCTGAGCGTCCACCCAGAGTGGAGGACCAGGAGGGGCACGGCCAGAGGTCCTGACCCTCAAGGATCGCTTGCTTCCCATTTGCAGCAGCAAGAAGGCCGGGACCCCAGCCAAGGGCAAAGTCGGCGGGCGCTGGAAGTAGAGAGGACAGAAAGGCCCCTCGAGGCAGAGACCCTCCGCCCTTGTGCCCACCAGGGCTGCCCATGGGACTCCACATTCTCCAGCCCCCACAGTCCTGTCAGGGGCTCCCTGACAATCCTGGGGGTGAAGAGGCCATCCCAGGGCATCCCCCGCATCTCTCGTGTCCTTGCTGCCTCTATCCCCTGGGGCCTGTGAATAAAGCTGCAGACCCCCTTCCACAGTGTGTACTTGCTTCTGCATGGGGGGCCCTGGGGGACACGGGGGGGGATGTGGGTAGGGGTTAGCCAAGGGCACAGCGTCCTGGACATCCGCGGGGCCAGCTCAGGAGGGCACTGGCCAGCATGTGCCACCTGTTACTATGGCCAGGGTGGTGCCTGGATGCCCATCAGATGCTGCCCACGGCTTTTCCCTCTAAAACGCGGGCCCCATCCCCGCCCGAGCCTGTAGGACCCTCCGCTCTCCACTTCCCTGGGGTCTTTGTGCAGCAGGGATCTGCAGGCCACACCCCCAGCCCCAGACCCCGTCCCTCTGTGCCAGCTGTCAATCCACTGGGGACACAGGAACTTTGCCTCAGGAGCGGGTGAGGGAGAAGGGCAGGGCTGCAAGGAAGACTTTGCCACCCCCCAGAAAGGTGGAGGCAGGCGGGAGCAGCTCCCGCATGAGGGGCACCCCAGGCCCTGGTGGGGGCAGTGCAGGAGAGCGCACTCCCAGCTCACAGCAGGCGGGGAAGACACAGACGGCCTTCTCCAGAACACAGGACGGCAGAGCGCATGCGGCTCGTAAATCTGAAAATCCTGACCAGAGAGAATTATGGAAAATATAAATCACAGAAATTGGATCAAGACGCAGAGACTTGTACAGCAAAATATTCACAGAGGAAGGTTTGGAGTCCAGAACGGGCCCCAGAAAGACTCGGGGGCGGGCGGCCACATCTGGGAGTTCTGCTGCTGGGGAAAGGGGAGCAAGGAGGGAGGAAGGAGCTCGCTGGCGGCCTCCTCAGCCTGGGATGGGGATGGGGACGAAGACCAGGACCTGGAGGACAAAACAAGAACCTCCAGATAGCATTACCACGATGTACAGACCCACTCAACACACACACACATCACCCCACAACACACACACACATCACCCCCTAACACACACACACATCACCCCCAACACACACACACATCACCCTCCACAACACACACATCACCCCTAGCACACACACACATCACCCCTGGCACACACACACATCTTACAACACACACACATCACCCTCCACAACACACACACACATCACCCCACCACACACACACATCACCCTCCACAACACACACACACATCACCCTCCACAACACACACACACATCACCCCCACAACACACACACACATCACCCCCCACAACACACACACACACATCACCCCCACAACACACACACACATCACCCTCCACAACACACACACATCACCCCCACAACACACACACATCACCCCCACAACACACACACACATCACCCTCCACCACACACACACATCACCCCCACAACACACACACACATCACCCTCCACAACACACACACACATCACCCCCACAACACACACACACACATCACCCTCCACAACACACACACATCACCCCCTAACACACACACACATCACCCCCACAACACACACACACACACACATCACCCTCCACAACACACACACACATCACCCCCCACCACACACACACATCACCCTCCACAACACACACACATCACCCCCACAACACACACACACATCACCCCCACAACACACACACATCACCCTCCACAACACACACACACACATCACCCCCACAACACACACACATCACCCCACAACACACACACACACATCACCCTCCACAACACACACACACATCACCCCCTAACACACACACATCACCCCAACACACACACACACATCACCCTCCACAACACACACATCTTACCACACACACACATCACCATCCACAACACACACACATCACCCCCACAACACACACACACATCACCCCCACAACACACACACACATCACCCTCCACAACACACACACATCACCCTCCACAACACACACACATCACCCCTCCACAACACACACACGCATCACCCCAACACACACACACACACACGCATCACCCCAACACACACACACATCACCCCCCAACACACACACATCACCCCCCAACACACACACACACATCACCCCCCAACACACACACATCACCCCCACAACACACACACGCATCACCTCCAACACACACACACATCACCCCCAACACACACACACATCACCCTCCACAACACACACACACACAGAAACATCACCCCCACCACACACACACATCACCCCTCCACAACACACACACAATCACCCTCCACAACACACACATCACCCCCACAACACACACACACATCACCCCCCACAACACACACACACATCACCCCCAACACACACACACATCACCCCACAATACACACACACACCACCCCCACAACACACACACACACCACCCCCCACAACACACACACACATCACCCACAACACACACACCACCCCCAACACACACACACATCACCCCAACACACACACACACATCACCCCCAACACCCAGCACACAAACATCACCCGCAACACACACACACATCACCCCCACAACACACACACACCCAACACACACACAAACATCACCCCCCACAACACACACACACAAACATCACCCCCAACACACATACACATCACTCCCCACAACACACACACCCCCCACAACACACACACACATCACCCCACAATACACACACACACAGAAACATCACCCACCCCACAACACACACACACAAAAACACTCCGACACACACACACACACAAACCCCCCCCCACAACACACACACACATCACCCCCACAACACACACACACACAGAAACATCACCCCCCACAACACACACATACACAAAAACATCACCCCCACAACACACCACACAGAAATATCACCCCCATACAACACACACACACAGAAACATCCAGGTGTGTGACCCACCACAACACACACAGACACACTCACAGCAACATCATCCCAGGTGTGTGACTCCTAACACACCAATGTGCCCACAACACACACACACAGAAACATCCAGGTGTGTGACCCCACACACAACACACACAGACACACTCACAGCAACATCATCCCAGGTGTGTGACTCCACAACACACACCAATGTGCACCGTCAGCCTGCACCCGCACAGCAGGCCTGCACGCGGGAGTCTCAGCCACACTGTGCCCGACGAGGCGTGTTCACTGGGTAATGCAAAGGTGGGAACCAGGGTACCCTCAGGTGAAATCTGTTGGTTGGATGTCGCCAGTCTTGCCGTGCTGCCTGGTTCTGAAAGGCCCCCAAGGAGCACCAAATGAACAGGAAGGAGGCAAGCAGCTATGCTGGGGACAGAGGCGATCACCA